ACAAAAAAACTATAGAAGAATACAATGATCGTTATTACAGAAGACCAATACATAGATAAAACAGAGGACTTCCTCAAGGAAAACAATTTCATGAGCCATAATAATAAAAGAGCAAAACAACTGATTAAGAAAAGCACAGAAATTATAAAAGAACTCTTAACTGACAAAATTAATTTTTTTTTACGCCAAAATTGTACGCCCTTCCGAAAATTCACAAACACAATATGCCAATCAGGTCAATTATAAGTTCAGTTAATTCTAGTACTTACAACCTATCCAGAATATTACAGAAATTTATCAGAAATGTATTTAATTTCAAACTAAAATACACGATTAATAATCGAAACCAAATTCCGGAGATTATCAAGGAGATAAATTTACCAAATGAATTCAAAATGTTATCTTTTGATATGAGTAACCTGTACACAAACATCCCAGTCACTGAAACCTTGGAAATCCTTATAAACTTAATAAAAACAGAGATAGAATTCACGATTTATTCAAAATTTGTATGGAACAAAACTTTTGCATATTTAATAAAAAATATTTCCAATTCGAGGTTGGTCTACTGATGAGATCCCTTCTAAGTGGAATTTTGGCCGATTTATTCATGAATGAATTGGAAGAAAATTATATAATCAATAATAATAACCCATTTAAATTAGAGATAATAACCTGGATAAGATATATAGATGATATCCTTGTATTTATAAAGGATGATCAACAAATTAACAATTTACACGAATACATCAACAACCTGCATCCTAAAATAAAATTCACAATTGAGATGGAGAATGATAGCAAAATAAACTTCTAATACCATTATTTCTTTTGACTCATACCACGATGTTACTCACAAATTCGTAGCTCTAAGAACATACCTACACAGAGCCTTTACACCTTACTAGATCAATAGGAATTAGAAAGAGAGATTCAAATAATAGAACAAATTGCAAATGACAATAAATTCCCACTACACCAAATGAAAAGACTTATTTCAAGGTTCCAAAATAGATTTAGATTAGAAAATATAACTACCTTAACGAACGAAACGATAAGTATTGAAAACACATACAGATCGATCACCTTTCCAGAAAACATCTAAAATGATATTAAGAAAATTTTTTAATAGAAATAAAATAACAGTCTCTTTCAAAAACAAAAACACTCTAAAGGACATATTACTTAACAATAAATAAAACATCCATCCTATCAAAGAGCGAAGTATACATATTACAATGCGACTCCTGCTCCGCCACTTATATTGGTCAGACCGGACGAAGTCTAAGAACGAGGTTAAAAATAAAAACAGCTCAAGATCGAACTTTGGAACACACCTGATCTTCAATGATCATGATTTCGATGAAAATAAAAACATAAAACTCCTACACCAACTTAATAAAAGTAATCTCATAGAGATGATTGAAACCTACGAGGTAAACAGATTTATCAAGAATAACTCTAAGATGATCAATTTGATCAAACAGTCATGTTCACGAGAAATGCACACTCAAGGTCAAGCGCTGTTGTGAGATCCGACATGCCGCTGGTTCGGCTGGCTAAACGAGCTGAGCCGAACGCCCACGAGCCATGAGTTTCGTGTGCGCTTGGCTTAGCCCGTTTAGCCAGCGGCATGTCGGATCTCACCACAGCACTTGACCTTGAGTGTGCATTTCCCGTGAACATGACTGTACACACCATTGTGCAACTGCTTAAAAAATCCTGTCCCAAAGAATAATAAAATTAAAACTAACTAATCTTTATGCAAGTGGACGAAAAGCATGAGCACCCCATACCTCAATGTCACAACATTATTTTTATTTTTCAAGTTTCTAAGTTTTATTGTTTAAACTATCTAGGTTTGTTAATTTCACTTTTTCGTCTGTTTCTCCTGTTTCCCTTATCCTGTGGCCCTCATTAGCTTTATTTTTTAACCTGTTAGATAACAACTGATAAATTAACTAATCTTTGTGCAAGTGGACGAGAAGCATGAGTTAGGTGGTGGCTCGTGACTTGCACCACTTGCACTCCATGCTTCAATATCACAGCATTATTATTTTTTAATTTTTGTGGTTCAAACTATCCAGGTTTGCCATTTTCACTGTTTCTTTTGTATCCCCTGTTTTCCCGTATCTTGATGTCCACATTGGATTTATTTTACGATTTATTTGGATATTGACTGATACTCTCCAGTTTGGATATTCCACCTTCAAAAGCATTTTTGATATATGTATTTTGTGATGACATCTTTTAGAAGAATACCTACTTTGCCGACTGTAATACAACATAACCTCGAACCTTCCTTTTAGCGCGCTTTTAATGTGCAACAACCATTGAGGTCTTATATATAATCTAGAGTCATCTAGAGTGCGTATGCTGTTGTCCCCACCACGCCTAAAATGAAGCCAGAAAGGTCGCCATGTTAGATGTACCAACTTAGCAGAAAATTCGAAATTCTTATATATACTTATGTAAGAATTTACATTATTATAAACTGGAAAGACAGAAAATAATAACCAAAACAAAACATTAATTTTTTATTGATAAATAATGATATTTTAAAAGAACTTAATAATTTTTAGCCACAACCCTTATAATTAACATAAACTAAGAAGAAAATATTTAAAGCAATTCTGATTGATCACATTAACCTTTGCTTATAAATAATTGTTAGTTTATTTAAAAAAAACTGAACAATCCTTAATAATAAACTTTACTTGAACTTCAATAATGAAGACCTCGGTGCAAGAAGGGAGTAGCTCCATTTATCAAGAGAAGGAGTTGTCCCCTTCTTACACCGAGATCTTCAATTGTTAATTCCAAGTCAAGTAACCAGAAACATTTTATGGACTGTTGTAAATAATCGTCCTATATACCAAATTATAAAAAACATATGTGAAACGAAAAGAATTCGAAAACTTTCATCAAAAATCAAATTTTAATAAAAATAGCGATATGTTTATGAGAATTGTGAGGTTATAATTGTAGGTATAATAGAGACTTGAAACTATAGCTAAGTTCAGGTTGGTACATCCAACATGTCTGACTTTCTGATTACCCCCACCACCACCACATACGCTCTCTAGATTATATATAAGACCTCAATGGTAACAACTCAGTGGACAAATACCTTATTTTTGTTATAATTCTAGTTCATCATTATCTCGTTATAAATGTATGTTTACCTTTTGGAAAAGGTTTTTGACGTAAGTTAATTTTAATTTTGTTTGTAGAACGATTTTGGAATGTATGTATTTTGTAGGGTTTCTACTGAAGACGGGCCCGAAACCCGGTATAGAACAATAAATTAAAATTAATCTCAGTATAACTTTATTCAAAACCTATTGACTAATTGCATCGAGATGAAAATGGATACAAAGGATTTTAATTATAACCATTTTTTAGTAATATAGCATAAAATGCCACAATCTCTGTTACAGCTGATTATCATTGAAGAATCAACCACGACTCAAAAACTTACAAAAATTATTCATAATAAACCAAGAAAGTATTATCGATAACAAGTTGCTTTGTTTCCATTTTCCAGACTTGAAGTAAAAATTGAAATTTTTTTACGATTTATTTTTTGTTATTTTTACAAAAGAAGTTTTCATTTTTGTTTATATTAGTAATAATTCGTAATATCGCTTTTCCCGCAGGACATTGCGTCGATTCTAGCGAAAATTATAAATTATTACGCACAAACTAATTACTTTTAACGATTAATAATGGCCCGCGGCAAACGAATGCGAACGTATTAGAGTTCGTTTCATCCGGCTTCCATAATTAATACTGACCCGTATCAAAAATAACCGTTTACCATAACTCACCCAGGAACGTAAATATTTTAATCTCGTTAAATATTTACGAGACGCCCTAATTGCACTTTAATTTTCGTTATATTAAATAGACCAGTTTGTTCGCTCGCATATTTTTAAATTTTTAATGATTTCACGTTGTTTTTGTGCTTTAAATCTTACATGTTAACGAACAATATTGTTCCCAATTTAGAATAAACAAGCCAAGTTGTCCGGATAACTAATGCCTCTACAGATAATCCTTCAGCCATCATCCCACGACATATTGGAGTATTTACTGGAGAGCTTTCGTGTTTGCTTATCGTTAACGAGAAAAGCTGTTGTCATGGGTAGAATTTGGAGATCTGTATTAGTTGCAACTGCACCTATTATCCCCAAAATTAGTTCGGCAACATTCTCTTTTTGGAGCATATACTAATTAAATTTCGCAATACCAACCGGCTGCTTTGTTCTAATAATTAACATTGCTTTAATGTAATTTCAACCTTAACTCTAATTATAATTCTAATTAAAGTAAGTATGTTTAAAAACTGTTTATATCTTTTATCATTTATACAAAACCACTCGATAAGTTGGAAAGTAAATGAAAATGTTTTCTCGATTCAGCATTTATAAATAAGAAATTGAACCGGGGCCCGGTTAGAATTTCCATCTTTTGGTATAAAAGGAGCAAGATGTGTATGAATTTTCCCTCGATGCTGGATTTCTTTTTGTAAGAGAAAAAGTCAGTCGGTGGCGGCGATTTGAATTCTGAAGTCGGGCATTACTTCAGAAAAATCCGGATTAAGAGCCACATCCTCGAATATCATCAACTGGGTGAATTTTAATAAAGCCACTCCGGTTCGAGTCCGCGGCCCTGGTTTGAGGGGGCCTCGCCGGTGGAATCTCGATTTTATTGAGCGTCGTAAAACCGCCAGCGCGAATATAAAACTCCGCTTTGTCTTCGTTGCTTGAGGGCGCTATGCTAAAATCCCGTATTGAGCGTTTATCGACTTTTTATCGGTGTCCCCCCGGCTGTAAACGACCCCCCGGAGACAACTCTTCCTCGTCCCTATACCCACAAATACTTGAGACTGAAAATCTGTCTCATCGCAACTCGTTTCTTGCGCTCCACCTCCCCCCATTAATTTTACTTTGAAAGTAACCATAAATACAAACATTCAGGCGGACAGGGGCACTTACCAATAACGAAACTCGCCCAAACCAGACGCATCTTGCTTTTCGTATCTCTTTTCCTTACTTCGTGTTGCTTCGAGTTGGCGCTAGCTAACGAGCATTCTACCCGCAGATGGCGCGATGATAGCAAATTAAGACTTCCGCGAAGGAGACCTGCAAATGAAAGACATCGTTAGTGGCTTCGAAGAAGTCAGCGATAGCAAACACCCTCCCTAACGGCCATTAGGCGATGTGAAGTTGAACGTTTGACGAGATGTAACACCAAAATTGGCGGAGACATCAAAAAAAAAAAAAATACACCCGGTAAGATATTTTCCTGTTTTCCTCACGTTTAATATTATTTTATCCCGATCGTGACAGCTAGAGAAACGATCCCGAAATAAAAATAAAGCCTTTCCCGATGGGGCCTCGGTGATATATACCCCGATTTTTCCCCTTCGATACCCGCCCTTCCCACTTCTTTATCCCATCGTCGAGAAGTATTAGAATTGACAGGGCCTCGGGCCGATCTTAAAACTGCTACGTGAGGAGGAATGCCCGATTGATATTTTAAACTGCGTACCCGATAAATTGGCGCGCCCGCGACCGTAATAAATATCAACCGGAATTGTTATTGGGCGTCCCGCCGGTAATATTTTTCCTACCCACAGCTTCCCAATGAATAATAATATAATCCCCTCCATTCAATTGAAAGTAAATTTAAAAGTAAAATCGTACCCCCATCAACTTGAATATTCGATAAAACCCACCAAATCGGTTTGACTTCATTCCGAGTCTCGCGGTCTTGTCCTTTTTACATCGACAATGCACCAATCTATTTTGCATTCAACCGTACCGTTTGTACCGGAACATGCGAACCCTTCGGTAATTAATTCGCCAAAGACGTTCAAATTACCACGAGGGCTCATATCGGAACGTGTACGTTTACTACAAATTTGCATTAAAAGGGAGCTTCAGTATACAACACCACATAAACATTCACCAATTCGTATTTGCACCAATTTCGTATTCTATGTATTATCTCTTATAATACATTCATTTGGTACTTTAATCATTATCCATAAGGATGGTAACAAATTTAGTGTTTTCAATGTTATTAGTAATTTAGCAGAAAATGTTTGGATTTAACCTTGCAAAAATTGCGAGATATTTTGATGGTTACGTTTCAATAATAATAATAAACGTCTTTATACCCAACATAACGTATTACACAACAAATAACATATTAATAGTAGTTACAGTACAGTTATGTATTTGGAGAAACTCAATATGAATTCCCTGATTTTAAACCGGACCCTTAAATCATGTTAGAACACAAACACATTTGAATGCCTATTCTACCTATCCTAACAATCCGCAAACAAACAAAAGCATAATAAAATACAAAAAAAAACCGAAATTAAACATTTGACCGAACGATAAGAAAGAAAAGTCACTATCACCTCGCATTGTTGTTAAAAATATATCTAGATAGGACACCCTTAAACCTTTCAATATTTTCATTCTTAACATCTTGAGGGAGAGAGTTGTACAGTCATGTTCACGGGAAATGCACACTCAAGGTTAAGCGCTGTTGTGAGATCCGACATGCCGCTGGCTCGGCTGGCTAAACGGGTTGAGCCGAACGCTCACGAGCCGCGAGCTTCATGTGCGCTCGGCTCAGCTCGGCATGTCGGATCTCACAACAGCGCTTGACCTTGAGTATGCATTTCCCGTGAACATGACTGTACATGGAATATATATTATATTATGTAAACGATCTAAATAAAGCTGAATTATGGGCAGGCAATGTGATGAGACTTTTTCTACGAATGTTAATATTATGAATGTCGCTTCTATATGTCACCTTACGGGACAAATATGGATGATTGCCGGTAACTATTACTCTGTGAAACAATGTTAAGGACTGCAAAACGACCCGATCACGCATGCTGAACCACTTCAATTCCTTGTTGTTTTCAATTTGACACTAAAAATGTCTTTAAAACAGTACAACAATTTTAAATTTTGATAAGCTATACCAATTATTTTAGAAATACAATTGCGTATCGTTAATACTAGCTACTGCTGTGCCTAACTGGTCTCTAGGAAAACTAAGGTATACTTGAGTATTATCGGCGTATTGATATCAGAAAATTTAAAACACTCGGGTGGCAAGAATATATAGATACAAAAAAGTACCATGGGGAACACCACTTGTCACATCTGAAAAACCAGAATACTCACCATTCAATTTCACACATTGTCTACGATTGGTTAAATAGCAATACGTCATCTCAATAAACGACTCATCACAACCAACATGTCGAAGGACTGCCAATAATACACAATGGTTGACAGTATTAAACGCTGTGCTAAAGTCCAAAAGAACCAATATGCTGAGATCATTGTCATCTTTTGCTCTTATAAGGTCATCCGTACCTTGTAATAAAGCAGTTGTACAGCTTCGGCCAGGGACGAACAATCAATGTTACATCAATGTTACTAATAATTTAGCGGAAAATGTTTGGATTTAACCTTGTAAAAGGTTAACTGCGACATATTTTAATGATTACGTTTGAATAATATTTTCTCAAAATCTAATTACTATAAAGTACTTACTATAATAAACCAGAAATCTAAGTACTATAAAAAGCTGCGTAATTTTACAACATTAACGGTGCGTAATGAAAAGAAGGCGTACTTTGAGCTTTGAGCAGTTGAGCCGAAATTCTAGTTCTAGTGCTCTATGAAAACTGCTTAAAAGACTCCGCTAAAAGAATGTTGTTCCCAATAAGATCATGGGGTTCCTGCTCATATAGCAGACGCTGATTTAATAAATCAGGCCTTTGTGAATGATATTCCTCAGTCTACTTATTCTACTAATAACCTGAATCCTTCCTTTCGATTAACTGGTGTGGATGACGATACGATCATGCGATTATTAACGAAAATTAAGAGTAAGTCTTCTGGCGCGGACGGTATCAGTATAAATATGTTAAAGTTAGTTGTTCCTCAGCTTCTGCGCCACATTACACATATTGTAAATGAATGCATTCGAGCAAACTACTTTCCTAATGCTTGGAAATCGGCGCTAGTGCTCCCCTTACCCAAAATAAATTGAGTACAAAGATTTGCGTCCCATCAGTATATTCGACCATAAGCAAGGTGTTGGAGAAAATCGTTAATTTTCAGCTAAGGCAGTCCTTAATGTAAATAACATTCTTCCTGATAGTCAATCTGGGTTTGTATCGGGCCGCAGCTGCTCTACTGCTTTGTTGAAGATAACTGATGATATAATCTGTGCTAAAGATATCAATACTGTACTGCACTGTGTATAATGTACTGCACTTGTACTTCTTGATTTTAGTAAAGCTTTTGATACGGTCTTTTATTATCTATTTTACACCATACTGGCTGTGATGTTTCGTTTGTAAAATTTATAGAAAATCGTCTACAGTCAGTTAAATTACCGAATTGTATATCTGCACCCTTGCTGCTGGAGACGGGTGTGCCGCAGGGCTTTATATTGGGGCCGTTATTACTTTGTATTTATACCGCGTTGAAAAGTGGAATTGTTGAACGAATTGCTGTATATAACTATTGGTGGATCGCGCATACTGGTTACTTCATCAGCGAGGAATTTCAACTTGAGCTGCTTTTTGTAATCTGCAGTTGCTTTACTCTTATGCCTACATTGTCAGTGTGAAGCTTAAAACTGTGCTGTATGAAAGTATGGTGTTGTCTTTGTTCAATTATTGCTCGCCTATCTATGGACCTTGTCCCTATGGTGGGTTTCAGGTCACAGCAACATTGAGGGCAATGAGAAGGCCGACAAGCTGGCCAAAGAGGCAGCAAACACGCCCTTCATTGGACCCCAACCTGGATGTGGACTACAAAAAAGCCACCTAAAACAAATAATCAACAACTGGGAGGCTTCAAAGATAGCCTTACGCTGGAAAGAACTTCCAGGTCACAGACAAGCGAAGAGTATGATAACTCCGTCGCAAAACAAAACCAAAGAGGTTTTATGCCTCAGCAAAGGGGATCTAAG